TGAGTTTCCCTTGAGACCTCGAGGAAGTGAGTGCATGCTCATTCTGTAGGAAGGTAACAGCCTGTCCAGATGGGTCCACAATCATCGGATAACGTATGTATCTAGTGAGCAGTCACATATGGACAAGAGTAATATGCCTACTACCTGTCAATGATGATAGCATTCTGAATAGATAGATCATCATTAGGCAGCTGGTTGGCAACCCAGGCTAGACGCTGCCCTGGCTTGGATAGATACTCGATTAGAGACAGGCTATTGTTTATCTAATGAGGTTAAGTCTGACAATACGATATACAAGGCCCAATACCTTAGGACCATTCTTGGTCGAGTCAAATATACGATGCCACTCTGCGTGCAATTGTTCACGATGAGCATGTTCACAGAAGCCACTATATGTACAGAAAGCTGCACCCATAACAGTATCTCCTATTATTGTTCCTGACAATGCAGACAAAGTTCGCTTAATACCTCAATGATGTATGCTTTACCCGATTGGGATTTGTAGGTATCCTTCTGCACCTCCCAACGTTCCTTCTCCGATGCCAACGATGCCAAGAGATCAGATGACCTGCAACGATTGATAAGCAGACCTCTTATTTGTAGTATCTCAGTATTACCTCTTGCACATTGCAGAGACCTCCTCCATCTCGGTACGTATACTCTGGCCCTCGCTTATCAATTGAGCATACTCATCCTTATACTGCCCTATCTCCTTCTCTAGCTTTTCAAGGAGCTCACTATTTGCCCGAAGCTTCTCGTTGCTAGCCTACACAATAGTGTTATTCCATATACATCACCAAGTTATACCTTTTGTTGTGTCTCGAGCTCTGCCACCTCTGCCCTCAGAGGGCCAATACTCTGTAGCATCTTGCCATAGCTGATCTGACTCGTTACCCACTGGGCCAAGGGCCCTGCAGCTCTAGAGGCACGCTCTATACGGTCCATGTCCCAGGCCGAAGACTTTAGATACCTACCAATAAAGTGTAGCCTGCTCAACTTCAGATCATCATGACGACTTACCCCTCCACACGCTCCCTAGCAGCGATGCTCAATGCATCAGTGTTGAATTGGAGTACTGTTACCATAAGCTGTGGATCTTTGAGCTCCTTACGAATGTGGTCCCAAGTGAGCTCTACACCGGGACCATAGTTCCTGTGTTGTATGAATGATTATCAGACACGATGAGGTATGACCTTATCAAGCATACGACAGCCTCGAGAGTGATCTTGACTGGTGCGGGAGGATTCGGTAAGGACCTCATCTCGTCGACTTGCTTCCGTTGTATTGACTGTACCAACTGCCTAGCATGGTTGAGAGCGGGTTCGACCTCAGCCAGTTCTCTGGCGACCTCTTCTTGACGTGAGGCAGCCTACAAGGCCGCCAGAATAGATTCCTATGATTATGATGATTATAACGTGTCCTACGAGTTGGTGATCTTTGTTCAGCTTCTCCCGCAAAGACTGGCTCTCCCTCTTCTTTTGCTCTGCTTCACTCTGCCCTCTGATCATCTGTGCCATCTTAGCCTCAGCAAGCTTGTTCTTCTCCGCTAGTAATTCCGTTTTACTCGACAACTGGGTCTACAAAGGAGCAACAGTCTCTACACCGAGCAATTCCCTTATGTACCTTCATTTCTGCCACCTGCTGCCCTGTCTGATGTAGCTTCTCAAGACCAAGATTCAAATGTCGTTGTTGCTCTGCCCACTCAGCCCGTTTAGTCGTATAGAGCTCCTCAAAATGCCTCAGGAAATCCATGTAGTCCCTTGGTGTTACATAGGCAAAGCGCTTGTTGAGGGATCGCAATGAATCATGAAGCTTCATCACACTCTCATGAATGCAGACCATACTAGTGGCCACTGAGATTGCCTATGGGGCGAGTGGTTGTTGTAGTCAATGATTGTCGTATGGCCGTGTCTCACTCGCTCTTCCGCGTCCATCACAGCCTTATGCCCTCCCTCACTAGTATCCGACTTGAAACAGTGCTCGGGTAGATCCAGTCGCATGAGGGAATCATTGGCAATCTGAAAGATGTTCCTCCTGAGATACTCTGAAGAGTCTGCAGCGCTCCACCTGTAGTAGGGCATCGGTCGGCCAGTCCCCAACCCAGTTAACAACACATCGGTTGAAAAGAGCAGGTGATGTCGCTTTACGATTGTGGAAGTCCGGGTTGGCCGGATTCATTGTGAACACTATGTGCAGATTTCTCTGTACCTAGATGACATAGCTACTACGATAATCGCACTCAAATGGGACCAAAGGCTGACAACAGCTCGCTGAGCATCATTAGCATCGTCCATACCTCTTTCGTAAAGTTAGAGAATAGCTCGTTGGCGTCCGCTGTAGTGGCGGTCTCGTTACTGCTACGGCACTCCTGGATCAAGTTGTTATACTCGTCGCCTTCGAATAGACCAGGGACCTAGGCAAGGTACCAACAGGGCTATGGGTCGGTGGCAAGATTGCAATCACCTCTCCACCAGCAAGTAAAGCATTCATCCTCTCGAGGAAAGCTGGGCCGAGGACGTTAGACTCATCGAAGATGAAGCATATTCTCTCTCCTTTCACCCCAGCACGCTTCATAACATGCCGAAGGTCAGCCTCGAAAGAGTGGATATCATATGACTTACCGGTCTGATGATAGAGCAACACCTTTCGTTGAATACAGAGTGAAGTACTCTTACCTTGAGCTGATAGACAGAGAGGCCGTTCATCCAGCTGACGAACTTTGATAGGACAGTTTTACCAACCCCACTAGCACCGACAAGGAGCATATGACCTTGAAGGGCCAGAAGAGTCTATGAATCAGCCACTATAGCATGTCCTTACCCAGAGGTTGTCTAACGACTCGGTCGATTCTGGTCATGTGATCCAGCATAGTATCGAACAACGAGAGCTTAACAGACAAAGCC